CTTCCCCTCCTCCCCCTCCTCCTCCTCCTCCTCCTCTTCCTCCTCTTCCTCCTCCTCCTCCTCTTTCCTTTACTCACTCTGGTGTTACAGGAAAATTGGGGGAACTAGAGTAAGCTTGGCAGAAGCAAAAGAGGAAAAGAATCATACAGAAAGTTTCCCTGAGATAACACTTCCATTTTTCTGAGCAAAATCACTGTAATAGACCTCCCAGCTACCTGCTTTTATAATGATTCTACGGTCAATCCTTTAGAAAAGAAAATCGCTCTTTTTTCCTTATCCTCCCAGGATGATAAGAAACCCAGCAATTACATATCTTTGTTTTGTTCATTTCTGAGTGGAAAAGATCACTGCCAGACTTCCTGTGACACCTAGAAGTCCTGCAGGAAACAAACAAATAAATACAGCGCAGCTGCTACAAAAACATTAGGGGTGCCATCTCTGGAGGTGCTACATCAGAGAGTGCCAACAAAGTGCCCCCCAGCCAGCATCTCTTCTGTGGCTCTCAGGGCTTCCCCCGCCAAGGGAGCAGGGCTGCCCCCCTTTTTTCACTCTTGGGATGTTTGAGGGGGCTTCAGAAACAAAACGGCATAGCTCTCAATCTGCTGTGGAAATCCTAGTGCAATCTGTAAGCCACCAGAAGCTGCATCCTCCTGCTCGAGAGGCTGCAAACATCTGGTTTGAATAAACCCTTATGAAATTAAGCCAAGATGCTTTTCTCAACATAGATGTACAATCAGTGACAGACAGCAGCTTTGCTGGCTCGGTTTGGGTGGGTCAGCCCAGTTCAGCCATGGCAAGGCCAGCCAAACCAAGTGATAACCCCTAACAAGTGTGGTTATTTTTCAGATCCACGTGGGGAAGACATGCCTTTTCAATTTTTTCAACAGCACGGCTGCCATAAATCCAGACTCTCGGGTTCCTTGAATGGCCAACGCTGGCGGTTTCTGAGGAGCGGTTTGGATGACTTCAGAGAGGGCTTCCTTCCTTCCCTTGAGGGCATCATCACCCAACCGGCCAGGGGACCCAGCCCTCCTCTTCTCTCCGGGAAGCCTAAGAACCTTGTCAGAGCATCCCAGGGGTCCCGAAAGATGCTAACCGAGCCACAGAGCTACACTTCCAAGCTCAGCCTGGTGAGCCGAACACGAAGGGACCACATTGCTCAAGCCGAATACTGCCTCAGCCAACACCCTTTAGCGCTCTACCCACATTTGCAAGAGAGCATTCCTGCAGAGGTGAGAACTGTCCCAGTTTTTACAAGGTCTTTCAATCTGGGCTCTTTGATGGCAGTCACATTTCCACTCTTTAGCCTAAAGTAAAACCACTTTAAGAAAATCAGTTGCACCCTTTTAGATCCGTCCATATGGAATACAGTATTACTATGTGTATATGGGGACCTGCAGCGGTGGGGGGCCAAAAATATCAAGATGGTGGCCATGACTGTGTGACCAAAGTCCACCTTTTTAAGGCAGGTGGCTTTGATCTCATGGCTGTCACCAGCATTTTAATTTTTCAACACCAATTGGCATCTCTGCACATGGTGGGAAAGTACGTGTTGAGGCATCTTTGTGACACGGGCAGGCATGCCTTTGTATAAGTGAGAATAAAAAACCAGAAAGGTGCCAGGGAGTTATATTTAAACTCCAGTATGCCATTTATTGAGAAATGAGCCTATAGCATAAGGGAAAGGGAAAGGGAGTAACAAGGTTCAGTTCAGTTAGCAATCAAAAAATGAACCATTTAGGAAAGGTCTGGCTATAATATTTAAGCATGAAAACAGAATTCATAGCTGGGAACTTAAGATGCTTAAAGCAGAAATCTGGACCTCAAATTGTCCCGAGGACCTCATGAGGACTAGTTCATTGGCTTGAGGGCCACAGCACTGAAGCCTTTTCACACAGGTACAAAAGTCCAATTACATCAAAATGAAGAAAATTAGGAGTATTATAATAGGTCATTAAACACAAATGTATTAAATTTTAAAAGAATGAGAAATAGAGCTCCCTTTTTATCATTCCACTTTGGTTGTTTATCAGGCAGGATTTTCATTAACAAGATCAATATTTGGTATGGCTGTTGTTGCGAAACAACCTTGGGCCTAATCATCAGAAAATGAGCAGGATTTATGCCCAGAAAAGAGTGCCTGAAAATGGTTCCCAACTTGGTCAAGCAATAAACATTATATTGGCACTCTTTTTCCATAGATACAGACACGGAACTATGTGTGTGTATATATCATCAGTACATCTACATTTATATTGATCTATAATAGTTTGTCTTCAATTTGGCATGGGTCCCCTCTTATTAGAATCTATAATTCCTACAAAGTTAGCTCAATTTCAGATTACTTTTAATAGAAAACAAGCAAAAAATTAATTAAATGAATACATTCTGCCACAACAGGGAAAAAGTCAATTGCCATCTGGTGTTTTCCAGTTATAGTTGATGGGGAAGTATGGAGGTTGACTAAACTGAAGATCTGGGGTCTGAATTGCTCTAACCTCTTGTCCCATCCCATCCTAATTGGGCTCCAAACCTTTAAAATAAAAAATTTTAAATAACTGGGCTGGAAATTTTGGATTTTTACCAATAAATTGTTTTGTGGTAGAGTAAAAAAATAAGATAGAATATACGCACACACACACACACACACACACACATACATACATACAAATACTCTAGCTTAATCGTTTCAATTATATATACAGTGTGTAGATACACACATACACACACACATATAAAATTAAAAGTTTTAACAGCAATAATAAGAACTAATACAAACTAAAATAGAACAGAGAAAACTAAAAAGAAACAGAGAAAACAGAAAAAGCTCAAAGTGCAATAAGAAAAAAAGTAGAAGACAGTAGAAAAAAAAAGAAAGATATAAAGGTACAAAGAGGTGGCTTCTGATAATCCTCACAGCAGTTATAAGTACAATTATATTTTAATCTCTCTCTCTAAAGTTACATCATGACTCTGTTCTTTCTAAAATCTATCCTGTCTGATCATCAAAACTGTAAATCACAAGTTCATTTTTTTCATTTTTACACAAAAAGTCCATAAGGGGTTTCCAATCATTGATGAATGTCAGTAATGACCTTTCTCTAATTAAAGAAGTCCATTTGGCCATCTCAGCAAGTTCTGTCAATTTCACCAACCTTCCTCCATGGTGGGTAATGCCCAATCTTTCCATCTTTATACATATAATAATCTCGCCACAGTAATCATATATTGAAATAATTAAGCTAGAGTCTCATGATCTGATTTTATAAATATTTCTGCTGCAGAATATATTTAATTTATAAATTTCTGAGGACTTATGTTGTATCTCACTGAAGCAATGAGCATGAAACTGAGCAAACTCCGGGAGACAGTGAAGGACAGGAAGGCCTGGTGCGATATGGTTCATGGGGTCACGAAGGGTCGGACATGACTTAACGACTGAACAACAACAAATGTTGTATCTGTTTCATAAAGAGCTGTTTAGCAAGAGTTTGAAGAGAAAGTGGCAAAGGAAGCCCCTTGATTTGGTCCATCAAATTCTCTGTGTAAATTCCCAGATGGTTCTCTGTGTAAATTCCCAGATGGCTAAGGAGTTTTTTTTAAAAAAAAAGAAAGCTGGTTGAGAAGAATGAGAAACTAAGAGTTGCTTTGTAATTGCTGACTTGACCTTTGGCAGACCCAAGGTGTCTCTGGAGGTCTAAAATTGAAATCTGGGTGATTGAGGAGACAAGAAGGGAAGGTAAAGGATAATGCTCAGTGGTGTCTGGGAGGGGTGGTCCAAACACTCAAGATGGTGGCCACAGCGTTGTGACCAAGTGGCATCCCTTTTGTGCATGTGTCAATACTGCCCGCACCTATAATAGGACGGGGCGTTGATTGCAGCGCTGAACCTGCCAACTTGCTTCTTTTCACCTCTCCCCATGGACACACTGAAAACACCTCGATCACCACATGCCCAGCTGAAGAACATCACAGGAGCTTTAGGACTAAGTTAGATGGAACCAACGATGATCTGTTTCAGGGCCAGCTCTACCATTAGGCAGAATGAACCAGCTGCTTCAAGGGGTGATGAATGGGGACCAAGCCATTCCTGCACAGCTGATCACTCCAGCAAACTCATAGGCCATGTTTCCATGACAATTTTTGCAAAGAAAAAGGGAGGAAAGCATGTACGTGGGCAAGAGCATCCACAGGTGGGGAAAGGGCCAGGTAGGGAAGTGGCAAAGGGTTCCCATTTTAGGGACTGCAGAGTCCTCCACAGCTCCTTCCTGTCCTCCATGGTCTCCTCTAAGCCGTTGCACCAGGACAGTCTGGCAAAACTTTGTTCTGTCACTGGATCCTCCCCATTGGCCAAGCAGGCAGTTGTGAGTGTGACTACTGTGCTTCAGCCAATTAATGTTTGGGAGGTGGGTTTTATATCTGCCAGCTGCCATTGTAGACCCCCATTTGTTTTGTTGGACGACTGTCTGGGAGACCTTGGACCCTGCTTCCTTGGTGACTGGGGTTTGGGGTTCACCAAACAAGTTTTCCCTAGCCCTACTTAGGCTACATCCACGCAACCACTTTGCCTTGCTCCCTTCCCACCTGGGAGCCCCAGTCCAAAACTTTGCTTCCACAATGCATCCTGACTGCCTGACAGTCCTTTCAATTATATGCCTTAAGCCAAGGGTGGCCTAGTTAATTTCAGAGCTTTGCACTCTCTAGGACCAGTGGTCAAGGCCTTGACTGACCTGCTGAAAAAAGAAAAAAGACTGTGCCGGTGGAAGCTGGCGATCCAGTTTCCTTCGCAGCCAAATCAGCCCTGAAAAAGGGGTGCTGAGCCCGGGGACCAGACCCACAGCAGACCTGCCAGACCAACGGATGCAGGGCAGATCCCCATTCTTGACCGTGTCACCTCAAGCCACCTCTTCCATGTGCTGGATGGGGCATCCTGGGTAGAATAAGAGGAAAAACACCGCTTCCAGAAGGGAGCAATTAAAGCTTCAGCACAAGTTTAGGATGAGATCAGCATGAGGACACATCCACCGGAAACGGTTAGCGAGGTGCCTTCACTCCAGCAGAAAAAGCATGTGTGGAAATGGCTTTCAGACTTTTCATTGATGTAATCCAGATGCTCCTGCATGAAAACAATGTCTTCTAAACAAATTGACCCGTGGGTTGAAGAGAGATTAAGTTTCCTCTTTTGCTAAGTTATCTGTCTCCCAGGGGAAGTTTCCGGGTTCAGAGAGAGACCTTCATGAAGTTGTGCAACTGGTGAAGTCGACAGCCAGGGCTTCTGAGTATCTTAGCTGACACCAGCGGAGGATTCTCTTTCATGGGAGCCCAGCGCTGGGAGGAATTCCCCGTCTGAATCTCACATGCCTAAAAGTGATAAGAGAGGGGATTTTTGTTGTTATTCCAAGTGTCAGAACTCAAAGTACATGAGAACAAGCAGCCACAGATTTCAGCCGAGTAAAGAGAAAAAACGGTCCTTGTTCTTGGCACGTTTTGTGCTCTGGACGGAAGTCGTATTATTCTTTAGCGTTTGCCTTACTTTGAGGCAAAGATGGTCATTCACTCAGTTCACAACAAGCCTTTTCCTTTGGGGCCTTTTCAAGAACTCTCCTGCTATATCTACCATTTGCTGTTGAGGGTTGGTTCCAGACTGATGTGTCCTTCTCCTTAAGGTATCCAGCTTCATGTCCGGAAGCATTTGTCTGTCCCTTGGTCATTGGCCAGTTTGCACAGGAGGGAGGATAATAGGCTGCAGGAATCATGGGCTCATCCTGGCTAACGCCGCCCTTGGATGAAGATCTCATTTCATGGGATGCCCTCCCCTTTGCATAATGAGTCCCTTGAAATATAATAACAGTTGTGTTCATACATGTTTTCCAAATCTGTATGGCTATTGATTTCTTAATGCAAGTAGAAAGCACAACTGTTGTGATCTGTTTATAAACAGAAGTTGGTCATTTTCGTACTACATCTGTGGATGGAGGGCTTTGTTAGAGCGCCCCCTGCTGGCGGGAAAGTTGGCCACTGACCTCTTTATAGGGAATATGCAAAAAGCGGGTGAGACTCTGTTTCAGGGGCGCCCCCTGGAGGTGTAGCTTCTCAAAGGAAGATTTCCTACTGCAGTGTTGTCCAAACTTGGCCACTTTAAGATGAGTGGACTTCAATTCCCAGAATTAAAGTGGCCAAGTTTGGACAACACTGTCCTATGGTATTAAAAATAAGGTTACATGTACCTCAGGGTTCCTCAACCTTGGCAACTTGAAGATGGGTGGACTACAACTCCCAGAATTCCCCAGCCAGCCTGGGAATTCTGGGAGTTGTAGTCCACCCATCTTCAAGTTGCCAAGGTTGAGGAACCCTGATGGACAGGACATCCTGGAGGAATCCTGGTCTTATACCTTTTTAAGCCTCTGATGGTGAACACGAGAACCTGCAGATTGCAGAATTGGAAGGGGCATTTGGACTGTGGGGTTCGAGCATCTGCCCAGTGAGGGAACCCCTGAATTTACAATCAGGGTGGGAATCACAGAACTACGATTCCCAGCAGCCTCAGCCAGCAGGGCTAGGAGTCTTCATCCTCTCCACATCCATTATACGGAGAAGGAAATCCTGCCATTCCAATTCCAGTGAGATTATTTTTACCACAAAGAGTCGGAAAAAACCAAGAGGGCTTTGTCTTTTCTCCCAAAGAGGCAGAGGCTTTTTGTATTTTGATAATTGATAAATATACTAACAAAACAAACAAATATGAGTTAGAATCTTATGCTTGAAATATGATGATGTCATAATTTGTTTGGAGCCAGACGTGGATGACATATTTGTGTTCAGAAAGTCCTTCCTTCCTTCCTTCCTTCCTTCCTTCCTTCCTTCCTTCCTTCCTTCCTTC